GGAAAATGTAAAAAAAAAAACTAAGCAAAATATTAATAACAATAATAACAACAACAACTGAATTTTGCACCCAACCTTTACAGAAATGGCACAACATGTATGGTCCAAATTGTGTTTTATATGTAACAAGAATATGTATAAACCTAGTATATGGCTGGACTGTGTATGTGCACAAAATTTGCAGTGTACAATATCATAGATAGGAATTCTAAGTACTGTACAGAGTGGCTAAAAAGGGTAAAGACATGGATACAGAAAAACACATGCATACAAAAAATGTGAATGAAATGTTATGACTCAAATTTTTCCAGGTATGTGTGTCAAAAAAAACCGTTTGAACTAACAGAACAGACTCAGACCATGCGATTTGATGCATTTGCTCTACCGTTAGTAATGACTTAATATCACTGGCCTTGGGGGGGAAAAAAATAAGCTAGTGCTTTCCAAAGTCAAAGAAATACTTGTGACAAAAAAGAGACATTTACTCTTAGAAAGGAAAAAAAAAAAAAAAAAAAGATTTTCTGGAACGAAGTAAAATCACAAGCACCAACAATTCAATGCCCTGTTTTATGACTCCAAAATTGAAATTTATACAAAAGGGTTCTCAGGGACAACATGCTGTGGTGAGAAGGCAGTGTGGTCTTGTCCTTTAATTTCATCATAGTGGACGGAGACCACTAAAGAGATAATGAAAACACTATTTGGAATAGAGGTCGATTGCGCCTTTGTCACATTAAAGCTGGGAAGAATCCCACATACACAAATATTTCTTTAAAGTCTTTTTGGCAGCCAGTAAGAAAGCTGGTTCGTGATGACTGAAAGGAATTGCTAATGTTTTTCCATCTAATTTACATACATAAGGGGGATGTTACTGTTCAGCCATTAACAGGGGAGCAGAATGGAACCCCATCTCAACAGAAACTACAATGACATAGATGAATTAACATCCCCCACAAAAAAAGAACATTATAAGCTTCTTAAATGTAGGATTTATGGTATACTTTTGGATTGGACTGTACAACTATGAATGTGTATGACTAAGATGTAATCCATTACATGTGCCATGGGAGGAGGGTCTTCTTTGGTTACTGTATTGTGCTGCCCATGTCAACCCACCAAATTCAAAAAAGAAAAAAAAAGAAAAAAAACAAACATCTTGAAAACAAACCAGCAAAGCTGAATTTCTATTGTGGCCCCGTGTGACCTCTTATATCCAGTGGAGAATCAGATTTTCTATGCCTTGCAAGTTTAATTCCAAAAATATTACCTCCACAGTAATGCAACAACCTGCATAAAACATGATCATTCAATAATAAGCCAGAAGTGCTCACACCAGTCATCATCATGAGCTGAATGAGGGAAAACGGTTCACATCAACAGTAGAAGCCCTGACTCATCACATCAGCCTGACCTACTGCTCACTGCTGACGTCCGTTTAACTGGGGGAGGGAGAGGGAGAGAGCCTGAGGCAGTTTTGATACAATACACTGCTTTGGTACCTATATGCTTTGATAACTTAAGATATGTGTTTTACAAACCATTTTTAATTTAACTAAAAAAGCAGAGCTCTGTTAAAACAAGCAGCTGTTCTAAAACTTTGCCTTAATAAAAATACTCTGAAATCGACAAAATATTAAAAGTTTGAAATTTTGATTTGATTCTGATCAAAGAATAAGTAAATAAAAAAATCTGACCAGTCCATTACAGTTTGTTATACATTTCATTCAGTGCCAAAGTTGTTTTCCACTAGACATTTTGATAATCAGTTTATTCATTTCTCATTTTCATGATTTAAAATTCCTTAGGCACTTAGGCTGCAAATTCCAGCTAGGAAATCCTCTCAATTTAACAGAAACCAACAGATGCCTAGAACAGTAGGACAAACATCTAGAAATCTGCATGGTTTGCAAAGTGGTTTACTGTAGTGTAAGGTTAACCAGAGATGTTGTTAATGGGCTGCAACATGCAAAACCACTGGAACCAAGAACCTAAGTTGCAAGGAATGATATATTCCAGTGTTTTGTTTCTTTAAGGGTGTAATCTCTTGGGTTACTACTCCAGTGTCTCTACAGAAACCCATTGACTTTCTGTCTGGAAAAATGCACACCTTGCACTTTGATCCAATCAGCACAATAACAGACTTCTGTAGCAACCTAAAGGGTTAGGATTACCTGTGCAGGAGTATTCTCCTTTTCCCTGCAGTGTCAGACTCAATTTTTAGCTGACATTTAAAGTCTAAACTCTCCACAGTGTTCACTGCCGCCACAGAGGAAGCTTTCACCACTTTGTCTGCATTAGGTTCACAAGGTTAAGACAAATGTCACTATTTCTACCTTTGTGAGAGAATAACTACTACTAGTGCAGTTTTGTAAGTTAATTTTTATTGTAAAGACAGAATAATTCTCAAAATAATACATTTTAAATATCTGTTCCTCATGACTTCTCAAAAATACATAATCAAATAAAACTAGGATTTTATATTAAGATATTTTGATCAAATTCCAGGAATCTAAAGATCTGCTCCACCCAACAGTGGTCCTAGTATGCTGTGTAGAATTTAAGCCCCTCTTATGCATGTACATGTGTTGATCAAAGTCTATATTAACTTAAAAAGCCAATTATCTTGATACAGCTCTTAACTGAGCCATGAGTTTGAAATTACACATTTTAAATGGCAATCATTCAACCTACTCATAGTAACCGTGGGTTTAAAACCATAGATCCAACAGGCGTGGAGCTACAAATTAACCGTCTCCCCCCAAAATAGTAGATCATTGTGCGTTATATAAATGCTGTCACACTGGAGGTCATGGTAATGCAATTTTCCCCAGTAACAGAAATGGTTGCAGTGTACTCCTCCTCCTCCTCTTGTCCACCACCCCGCCCACTTCAAGAACCAAGCGCACCCCCACGCAGCCCCTCCTCATATAGCCGAGGATCTGGGTCTAGCATGGTATCACAGTAACCATGGAAGAAAAATACATCCATTTTAATCAGGCTAGCGCTGATGCTGTTGCTCTCGCTGCCATCTAATTTGCGTGACGTCTTGTTCAAATAGGCTCATACAATCTCAATCTGTGTGTGTGTACATGTGCGTTTGGGTTTGGTTTGGAGCTGAGAATAAGAGCGAGGTGGTGGCAGTAGTGGGTGTATGCTATCGGGTGTGTGTGCACATTTCAAGCACTAGTTTTGATTCACCGTTTCCCCCAAAGGCCATTTTCAACGGTAGGTGGGAATTCAAGAGACTGAAATCAGTGCAAGACAAAACCAGCCAAGCCCAGCTCTCACTGCCTCTCTGAGCTGTTTTATAATTTAACCTCCCTGCAAACTACTGTTTAAATGATTAGTAACTGCATTACTAAAATTATGCCAAAGTTATGTACATATTTCATGTACCTGAGGCCAGAAAGAAACCTCCACAATGTCAGAAGCTAGTCCTGACCCAAAACTGTCATACTACATATCACGGTCCTGCAAGACCTCCGACATTGCAGTCACTGAGCAGCTCATGAAATTAGTTATAGAAATAACAAACTCAATGCACTGTAACTCATCTTGCCATACAGGTTGCTAAAAAGATAAGTAACTATGTTAGTCAAGTAAAAAGACAATTTAACCTACCTTACCAAGAAAGGCATTTTCAATTTACAATCAATACAAACCATGTCTTTTTTGCTTAGTTCTAAATATGACAGTCCTGAATAAGGTCGAGTTGACAACATGAATGGCTGCTGTCTGATTGGCAATATAAGGTAAATACAATTTTGTATTTTGCAGTCTGTGGTATTAAAAATTATAAACATATGAATTAGTGCTGAAACAATTAGTCCACAGCCAAAGTCCCAAACATTTACTAGTTCAAGTTTCTCCAATGGGACGATATGCCATAGGCCTGCAACTACAATTAATCATTTAGTCCAGAGTGAGGGGGGGGGGGGGAAGTGTGAAATAAACGGAAAAGCACCAAATCACCACATTTGAGAAGTTATATCTAGTATTTATTTAGTAAGATCAATCTTATCAAATTAGCACTAATCAGTTTTTACACTAATCATTGCAGGACATGTTTATACCCTTCTCTGTTTTGTAACATTGTTAATTGGAAAAGTACCAGCATTTGGTGATAGTAACTTAACCTCGGCCACTCTGCTCATAATTAGGCCTTCATTGGGATCACCTGCGGTTGGTAATTGGCCGCGGTCACTCCTCTCCCTTCATGCCCTCAGCTGCTGCTACCCTCAAGGGACTGCGGTGCTGTTCACTATCCCTGCTGTCAATTTTACCGCTCCATATCAATCCACTGTAATCCTTTTTTCTCCCTGCCATCTCTCTGTCGGCTTCCACTTCAGGAATAAATAAATAAATTACCAACCTCGCTGGGGGTGGTGATGGCAGAGGAGAATCCCACAGTGGAAGCGAATGGGAAATCAGGACACACATAGACGCCAACACAGTTCAAGAAGCAGGGGTTTATTCGTAAGAGCTGCGCGTTTTCAGGGTGAAATTAATTGACCGCAGGGCTAATTGGCCACGAATGAGCGGCGACAAGCACTTGCTGTACAGAAAGCAACACAAACCAAACGGGCCTCTCCATCCTCCCATTTTTTCCCTCTTCAATTCATTTCCAGAAACACAAATACTGAGCGAAAACACCAAGCTAAAGCAGTGCTTAATGTAAAAGAGAAAAACACTCCTTATGAATAATTTTAAAGCATACACAAAAGCAGAAAATAACCATTCTAACCCCGCAAAAGACGTTATTTCACGGTTTTCCTTGCGAGGAAGCAGCGCAAGGTTGACTAGCCCAAGGTGTAGCCAAGCACGGTCACTCCTTCAAGGAGCAGCCAAGACAGGTGTACAGCTCGGTAATGTTAGCTAACGTCACTATACACAGTGCGCGTTTCCCACAGCCGAAATCCTCAACACACTCAAAAGCACATAAGCGAACAAACACAGAGAGAGAGAGGGAGAGAGAGAGAGAGAGAGGACTACAGACTTACCGTGGACATTAATGCAGTGCTGGAGACATATTAGCATCGGCAGCAGAAGGATCCCAGGGGTGGACGTGACCATCTCTCGCAGTGTAACGTACGGTTGCTAGCTGAGCGCTCGCGGGTTGCCTCTCTCTGCCCTGCCTGCCTTTCTTGCTGGCTCGCGCTGGCCTGCTTGGTCTCTGATGCTGCCGGTTCACGCGCAAACCACACATACATACATACATATACACACACGCACACACACACACGGACAAACAGTCACAGAAGACGGGGAACGGCCGCTCCTGCCGACGCCAGCGCTTCAGAGGACTGTGTCCAGAGAGCAGCAGTGAGAATAAAACGTAGGCGGCCGCCGCACAGACCACGCGCCTTTTGATCTCGCTCTATAACCACGCGCCGTGCGGGCCGTCCGGGCTCCCGTTCCCTCCTCTTGAGCTGAAATCCATTTCCTAAAAATTGAAGGTAACGAGCGGCTCCAGTGACCGGTTTGTCAGTTCTACTTACACAGAGCCCGTCACAGCTGAGGGGAATTTTTTTTCCTCCTTCAGTCTGTCTTTGGCATATTGTTAACCCTTCACTATCCGCATGAAATAAAAAAAAGAAAAAAAAAAGAGAAATTCCATTTTATTTAAACATACTTACAGGAAAAATTACAAAGACATTACAATAATTATGACTAATGACATTGTCAAGCAATTCTATCTATATATCCTGGTTAAATATAAGTCAATAGATCGATAAAAAAAAAATCGATTATGCAGGGAACAGATTGAAATTAAGTGTTTTTTGTTGGGTATAAAATAGATGGATAGATCTGTTAATTTATCAGTTACTCAAGATCAGTTGCAGTGTTCACCACAAACAGGCATTGCTCAATAAAAAAACCCCGTGAACTTTAACCAAACATCTGTAATATACCGTACTAATATTAAACTCCATCAGCTGATAGACTAAGCTTTCTATTACAATCATCATCGCATCTCTTCACATCTGTTCTTTAATGCCTTGAGTTTATTTCTAAATTGAATTATCCACATTTAACTTGAGCTGATCGGCGGCCACTGTGGCCACATGTGGTAATTACAGGATAATGGCTCATTTAATTTCCATACATTTCCAAGGAGTGCCTGACTGTATGACTGACAGCAAGTTAAACAGGACATATGAGCACAGCCTTGATTGTTTTCAAACGGCACACCAGTTTTTACCTAAGCAACAATATGTTTAGATTTATTATGCATTGCATCTAAATAGGAAAAGCCACAGTTACCTGAAGCTCATCATTCATTGTAATAGAAAATTAAATGTGTTTGGCAACTAAAGACTTAAAGTACCTTCACTTCACTTCAGATGCAACATATGTTTAGTTTTGGTTTCACTGCTGATCATTTTGTAAGAGCAGATGTCTCATTTTTCAAAGAGTGAATACCAAATCTTGGAGCCAACCTCAACTCCAACATTTTCTTCGCTCTGTCTGTCTGATGCTATTTCTCCCCATTTTGATCACCAGGCCTTTGGATTTTCCAGAGGGCTGCATGCTGCCAGGTTTCACAGGCTCCCAGAGTTCTTATCAGAGGATTGAACCTCATCTTCAGTGATGGCTGATGGCTGCTGATACACCCCAAGGCCCATTCTGTCCCAGATTTTTACATGCCATGAAAAAAACATACACACAAACCACTGTACAATTCTGTATGAGGAAGTCTGTTTGTCTCTCTCTGACTGTCAGTATCGCTTTCTTGCCGTCACACACTAACACACACATACTGATTGGAGATTTAAAGGCTGGAAATCCAGTCTCTTATGAAATACAACTGTGGAAAATCATTATTTGCAGGCTCACCAGCAGGATCCTCAATAGCAAAGATGACTCCGAAAAACCTAAAAACTAAATCCATCAGCTCTTCTTATTTCACTTTACAACCATCTCTATAATCGGTGGAAAAAATCATAGCTTTGAAAGAACGATAAACAGAGTGTTTTCTTTTTCCATGGCAGAAAATGGTCAGAATATATTTGCAGTTTTCCATGCGGTTGTTGATCAGTCCGACACAGTAAAACATTATACCAGGGTATAATGAAATTAACTAATCTTTTATCATCAGTTGAGTGTTCAGAACAAAGACAGCACTCCGCTGGTCTGGATACGTTGCTAATGGTAACCGTGAGATAATGAAATCCTGTCCATTCAGTGCAGTTTGAGTAACAGATCCAGGAGTTTGAAGGCCCATCAGACACCAAAGCACTACACAGGATTTTACAACTCTGGTCAGTTCATTCAACCATTTACTCTCGACTGTGATGATCAACGGGTTAACAGTGAAATAACCTGTTCCTATCACAAAGTAACAGGTGTTTCTTTTCCATATCTTTTAGGCTGATTCCTCTATTTCTATTCTTTTTATACAATTTTAAAATTGACCATAAGACCAACCAGCAGCGGTCCTCCACTCACCAGTAATGCCAGTTCCCCATCACCCAGATACTGAAGGTAAAGTTAAACGGGACTAATACAAGTTTGGTATATCCTTAATGATGTTGTCTTGGTCATGTGTTCTACAGGCTCTCTGATATGATGGATGGAAGAGTCAGACTCATATCCATCTCTCAGTACTGTCTGACTTCTCTACCTTGTGGGCGACATCCAGCCCCAAACCCACTGGTTTCTACTGAAGACATGAATCTTAAAAAATAAAAAAAACAGCTTACAAATATATAGTTTTATTTTGAGAAAAGCTCAGTATTTTTTTTAAATGGCTGTACCACCGTAGTTATTTCACAAATGTTACTCAAACAAGAGGAAAAGTGTGCACCGAGTTGGGACCAAGCTGCTGGTTAATCCACTTTTGGCGCTTTAGTGAGTATTCATGGCAGCAGGATGGTGTATGTTTAAGAGTGTAAAAATAAACAGCAGTCTGCATGTTCATGGTAAACAACTTGTTAAACAATGGAGCTCTTTGGTACGGAGGAATAATATCAGGCTGCACAGGATCAGGTAGCTCTGCGTATGAAAACAATGTCTATCATATGCTGTGGCCTTTGCAGTCAGCAGATCTCAACCCAAATGAGCACCTATGGGAAAGTCTGGACCGACCTGTTAGACGGCGCTCTCCACCATCATCATCATTAAAACAGCACATGAGGGAGCGAAGGGAGTGAAGGAGCAGTGAAGCTCCACGTGGTGGAACAACACCTGCCTAAGACACTACATGTTGGTTTTTCCTTTCATTCGTTATTCGTCTGTATAAGGCCTTTTGCAAATGAAGAACTAACCCTTGAGAGAATGGTGATGGAAAACAAATCTCACAGTCACAGTGTGACTAAGCAGCTGTTGATTGAAATATGCTGAACTTTTTTTTTCTCAGTGAGTTTCACATTTTAACTCCTCGTAAGCACTTTATTAATTAATTACGTTTTGTTCAGTTAAACATATTTATGGCAGTGAGGAGTTTCTTTCGAGATGAACTTGCTTACAGAGTTTTACAGTGCAATGTTCACAGGTGCTGAGAGTCGAGCTTTCAAGCCCACCAGCTCCCATATGAGTAAGATTTGAAGGGACACCTCTGTTACACACAGATTTAGGTTTTTACACCAAATATCAACAATGGAGTGGCTTAAGGGCGCTTGGTCTGTGACTTTAGGTCAAAAAACGGACGATGGAGGTGTCCTGTCTGCTAAACGCCACTGTCACTCTGTGACTCACCAGTGTGTGTTGACGGGAAGCTTAATGCTTGCTGTCAAAAATCACTAATCAGAGATGGCAGATAGATGTCGCTGCGTAGTGTCAACCTGCACTAAACCCAAGATGAACAATTACAGGAGCATCTGGCTCCAGTTATGACACTTTCCCTGACATGCATGGTAACCTGTAAATGTCAGTGTCATTTGGGAACAGAAGAAAAGCTACATGTAAGAGAGTTTGACATGTTAGATTTCCAGAAACTACAGAGAAGAACTACAGCAGTGATATTCCCAGGAATAAAATACAAAAGCTATTACTTATACAGTATGACTATGTTGTGTAGCTACCGAGATGATTCTGTCTTTGGAAACACAGTAGTGTCATGCAAAGGACTAGTGAAACAATTTGCAAAGTTTTAAGGATCTGCACATAATTTCTTGAACGCATTTGATTTTGTAAAGCTTGTCCCTGCAGAGTGGCTCACAGCACGACAGCAGAGAAAAACATCCAGCAGTGCAATGAAACGGCAGCTTTACAGTTGCTTATATAGAAGCAGAAAAACAACTGAACGAATGAGATTCATCTTGAACAAAAGGGTAAAAAATGAAGTAGCACAGCGAGAGATGCTGTATAAAAACAGACCCCGGTAGGGCTTTATTTTTTCATTTTCCTCTCCTCATGGGAAAATATGACTCTGTATGTTAGAATTCAGCAGAGAAGTGACATTTATCAGGCAGAAGATTGCACACAGCCCACAGATATCAACACTTCCTGAGACCAAACAGCTTTATCCTCGTCCCAACACGGAGCTGTGGGGACTCACCGCTGGCTGAAAGCAGATATGTAATCATGCCGCAATCTGGGCCAGGTTTCTGAAGATGCTAGTAGCCAAAGGGGGGAGGGGGGGGCTTCTTTATCTGACTGTGAAGGAGAGCTGGTAGTCCACTCTCTTTCGAATTTTAATTCTCTCAACTTAGCCCTTAGAAATAGCGGAGGCGGTTCTGCTGTGATTTAATATCACACCAGACTTCTTCATCTTGCCCAAAATGAGCTATAACCTGCTTGCGATGGTTAGAAACACAACACTGAAATATACAGTAGAAATGACAACACATTTCACTTAGAAAATAAAGAAAACAACTGCAAACTTGCATTCCCTCAATGCACCCTCCTCCCGTGCTGACTAAAACCAGATGGAAGATGAGAATGGTTTGATTTTCCACACTGAGGATTTTACCCATTTACCTCAAAAGAACTGACATCTATCTAAATGTCAGGGGAAAGAAAACAAAGCATGGACAAGCACATCACAGTTTGATTTTATTACTCTGTTCAGTGATCGGTTGGGAAATGTGCTGTGACCTGTCTGTGCTCTCACGGGACCTGAAGCGCTGCTCAGCTCCACAGAGAGAGACACTCAAAGCCGGTCACACTCATCTGGAAATATCATCCTCTACACATACCCACAGTACACAACGCACAGCATCTATTTTTGATGGATTATTTCCACCAGGACGTTCCTACTTCTTTAAGTATAAATCTTCCTTGAACTGTGAGAAAAGCTTTTGAAGAACCGAAACTGTGTGTTGATCAGTCTAATGAGCAGTTAAACCTTGTGACATCACCATCAGCCTAATTAAAGACATTGAGTAATCAGATGGAACACTCGGCGTTTATTGGCTGCTGTTTCCTGACCCCTCTCTCTGCTCCCACTGTAGCGAAGCAACTTTATCTCAGCCAGTTCCAATACCTCAACTCTGTATCTGCTGATACTGTGAATGCTACTTTTGATATCTGATTCCAAATTAAATGAAATTCAATCATTCATTCATTAGCCATTCCACTTATCCTTTTAGGGTCACGAGGGGTTTGGAGCCAATCCCAGCTGACACTGGGTGAAGGCGGGGTACGCCCTGGTCAGGTTGCCAGTCTATCACAAGGCTCATATATAAAGACAAACAAGACTTCACGCTCACATTCACTCCTACGGACAATTTAGAGTCACCATTTAACCTAAACCTGCATGTCTTTGGATTGTGGGAGGAAGCTCGAGTACCAAGAAGAAACTCATGCAAGCACAGGGAGAACATGCAAACTCCACACAGAAAGACCCAAGGCACTTTACAGGGTAAGGTCATAAGATCAAGGTCATGTGCTGTGCAAATATCTGGGATGTTTTTACATCTCTTGGAGCAAAGAGTGTTTACCTCTTCCTTTTGTCTCTTTGGTCTGTGAGTTTAGTCCAGGCACTTGTGTCTTGTCAATCCGCCAAACGCTGGTGTTCGAGGTAAATGTAGGCGCCTTTCAATTAGAGGCATCACCGTGGCTTTTCCCCAGCTCCTCCAGGAAATGCTTCTTCGTGAGTGTCTTTTTCAGATTCCAGCTTAGATTCAGCTCCATCCACACTATAAAAGCTCTGCAGACTCACACACCTAGGATGTCAAAAAAAAAAAACCCACCACCACCAGAAGTGCAGTCATTCTTTTCAAGGATTATACACCAATAACATGTGTTGATGACAGCCAAGTCAGGTTGGATCACCTGTGACAATACAACGCCTGATCAGGCTCTGTGTGTCATAAACAAGTGGTGGATTTATTTCTGGATCTGTGTACATGGGTTTGCTTGGATATCTGTCTGGTCTTCTCTTTGAGAACCTGCGTCCCCTCGAGGTTTGTCATATTTATGATATTGCTTTGATTGGCTCTGTCAGGAAGAGTTCAATCAGGATTTGATGTGATCAGTCTTGGACATGGTGTATCTCGTTGGCCCTGGGGTCATCCTGATAACATTCTTCTCCTCTCAGATGGGGATGAAGACCAGGACAAAGTCCCATACTTTGACTGAAGGTTACAGGCTCAGCAGGACCCTCCTCCCCATCACTTGCTTGTTCCTCATCAGTTGTCTCACGGTCTGGATCATATCCTGCGCTGTCTTCCTCCCTGAGATTTGACAACCAGTCACAGTGGTTGCTTTCTGGTGTCTGGCCACAGGGGGCAGTAATGAACCCATTATGTCTAGATAAACCGAGGACGATGACAAACATAGTTGGACTACTACATGAAGCTGTATAAAGATGAGATTTATGCTTTATTGTCAGTGTTTTCTAACATCATGTTTGGCTCTACAAGATGAAAAAATCCTTCAAGGATGAGACGTTGCCTGATTTGTTTGCTGCCAGTCTGTCTCTACCTACATTTACATTTATTCATTTGGCAAACATTTTTATCCGACATGACATGACACAGTGAAGGACATCACTAAAGCCTCAGTGCAGTCGGAGACCTTGGTCTAAGAAAGTACTACATCTATTTAATAAGTGAAGGAGATCAGGTATAGAAGTTCAGCGAAAAAGCATAGTAAGAGCTCGTTAGTTCGAGTGTTAGAGGTGTTAGCGGAGGAGATGCTCTCTGAAGAGATGAGGCCTCAGGAGATTCTGGAAGACTCATGTTCTGATAGCAGTTTTGTAGCTTGTTCCACCACTAAGGAACCACAGATGAGAACAGTCTGGACTGAGACCGTGCTGCGTGCAGGGATGGAAATACTAGACGACATTCCCTGGAGGAAAGCAGTGGCCGAGAAAGAGCATATGGTTGAATGACTGAGTTCAAGTAGATGGCGCAGACCCAGAAGTCACTCTGAAGGCAGCATTAGTGATTTGAATTAGATTTGCGCCATGGCCATGGGTAGCCAGTGTAGTTTGAGTTTCTAATATCACTGCTGTTTTAGTTTGTGTCCCATTTCCATACTACAGTACATATTAATTGTAATAGTACTATATACTATTCATTATGGTATGCTGTTTTGCAGCTATTAAAACCTCACTAGAAATGATGCAGTGTGCACATCTAACATTCAGTGGTTTGAGTTCTTTGACAGAGGCAGCAAATAAAAGTCAGAATCACAAATCAATTCAGTGCTGAAACAATTTGCCTAGTGATTGATTAGTTGATCGACACCAAAGTAATTGCCTATTATTTGACAAACAGTCAGTTGTTTAAATCACATATTAAACTAAGATTCTCTGGTTCCACTGTAAATGTGAGGAGGGTAAATGTGTAAAGCGAATATCTTTGGGCTTTGATCTGTTTATGAACTTGTCCCGTTGGGCTCTGGGATCTTCTCAGTCTCTTTTTGTCTGTAGAGCCAAGGTGAATGGCATCAGCTGATCACCCTCCCATGTCAACCAGTTGCCTGCTGAGGGATCATTAATCAAAATAATCTAAATCATCTATCTATAATATCTATCTGGGTTACTAGTGTAGTCTTATTCAAGTCTTACAGCTGTTGTGTTTGTTTGCTGCTGAAACTTGTGACTTATTTTTACACCAGGAAGTTCAGACATGGAAATTTAAAAAAGAAGACAAAACACGCAGAGGCTCTAAGTAATCCTTTATACATTCTCAACATATATTTCAGTAGAAAACAATATATTTACATTTTTACAGACATTTTTTTTTTTTTACAGTACATACAGCATTTACATATAAATATAGAGAGATTTACAGCATTAAAGTCAGTGCTGTATAAACTGCATTTGCAGAATGTCAACAAAGAATAAGTCATTTTGCTAACACAATGCACCAGTAATGGTCTGATTTTATTTCATGTTTATAAGTAGATGCTCTCCACCTTTTCAAGGACATGCAAAAACTGCAGAATGATACTTTTAAAATTTCTATTTTACAGTAGGAAAAGTACAACGTTATCAAAAAGCCCGATAACCTGATGAAGTGTGAGTGGAAAATGTTGTACTGCTTCTATAAAACGGACATTTTTCAATAAGCATTCTACAATGATTCAACTTACACGCAGTTACAGTTTTTTAGACACTGCACCTGGACACGAAAGATGTGTGTGTATTTTGCACATTAACAATGAGATGCTGCCTGTTAATTACACAGATAACAGAGGTACAACGTCTATCTGCGTTTGGGACGACGAAGTCTCTGTGTCATTCGGTCCTGAAAATGGGCAGATTTGATTCGTCTTGGGGCCCAAGATGAGAAGATAAGAGACCGCGGGTCTGTCCCAGGGCTCACACTTGCAGTCTTCAACATTTAAGCGGATGTCACGTGCCACCAGTTGGTAGACAGGTGTGTCCCAATGTCGACGTGGAGTTCACTTGATGCACTTCCTTGCCCAGTTATTGGCAGTGATGCAAAGCCTGTTAGTTTGACGACTGATGATTTTAAGACATGTTGGATTCAGCTTGAAAATAATTCATGCCCAAATAATAAGCACCGACGCTCCACAGAGAGTTATCACTTAATGTCAAAAGAATATTCATCTTTAAGAATATGGCAGAATAATGGATGTCTGACATTGTAAAAAGGAACATTAGTATCCTCTATCAGACATAAACCATTCAAAATAATAGCATATGTGTGCTATATATGTGTTTTATGTACAGTAGGCTGAATGCTTTGGTTGATCCTGATTAAATCTTCCACATCTTCCAAGTAGGGACTTGACCTGCAAGTGCAAGATTTGGGAATCACAGGTGAACACTTGATCGTGCCCAGAATCCTCTGTGGTATTTTGTGTCACAGCGCCCCTCTGTGGACAAAATACATCACACCCATCTGACTGGCTCTTGGATTGTGCTTCATCATTCTATCACCATCTTCCCACTGACTCTTCACACTTCGTATAAAGCAGCAGGAATGTTTCAAAAACAGAGCAGATGTCTGATTAATCAATATCTTTTGGTCCATTACCACATATTCTATTAAATCCATATAAATCTATTTTTACTTAAAGTATGTTAAATAATGTTTCATACGCAAACAAAATACCTGGTGTCAGAATTTTAGAAAAGTTACTGTCCTTGCTGTTTCACATGAAGCTTTGTGGTGCATTCAGGTGCAGCAACAGGTGAAAAAATGATCTGTTGTTTTATCCACTGAATAGTCAGAGGTATGATCAGTTTTAATATACTGTGACAGTTATTTCATCTGTATGAGTTTATCTCCACGTGCTGTTGACAAAGATGGATTTCAGTTGCAAAGACGCCCTGTCTCCTTGTTCTTCTTCTTTGGTTTCAGTTGTATTTCTTTGACTGTGTTTACTCGGTTGCCTTAGATGTTTGTGAAGGGCTTCTGCAGGCAGAGCGAGCCATGGTGAGGAAGAGGATGGCTGTGGTAGTGTTCAATCAGAGCTGACAGAGTTGGGAAGGTCACGTCATTTTCCAGAAAGAGCGAGGCCTCCTGTAAACACAGCAACAGTGAACAGGAGACTTCACTACTGCCACACTGTCATTATGCCTCATCTTTATGCATACTGTAGATAATTATATGTTTTTTATGTATAAAGTCAAAATATGATGGAGATCAGCAAGTTTCTCACCTCTTCAAACAGTCTGTAGTTTCTGGCTTTGCCTATACTGACATCCCACACCACAAGCACCTGGATAACACACGTTATTTAGTTTGTCTTAGATATTAGAAATCAGAACAAAATATCAGCAATATGACTTCAGTATGAAAAATAATGGTCAGTTTTCAGAAAATAAACATTATTTAGACCCTGACGTGAACGTAAATAAAGAGCAGGCAGTCACAGCTCTGACACAGCACAGATTAAAACGTGAGACGAGATACTGTCTAGCATGTTAGTATTGACATAACTTGTATCTTGTCTTTCCACACAAAACTATTCCATCATAGTTAAGTGAATGTCTTCTTATGTTTTACCTGGGAGGTTTTGGTTCCAGAGTTTCTGATGCCGTACAGTCCGTCCTGTGGGGGGACGGGGCTCTCTCTGAATAACCTGCAGGTACAAACATCATCACAGGTTAAATATTGTGTCAAATGCATTTGATAAAATGTAGTCTTGTCTTTTTCTTTCAACTTATTTTCATTCACAGTTACTTTGAATACATTATCGGTTTGAATTGTAATGAACTGCAGCTGCAAACACGGGAAATATGAACAACTCATAATACAAATGCAAAGCAGGTGTTAGTAAAACACACATTAGAGAAACTGCTTCATAAACAAGGGGAGACACTGTCAATAAAATAATTGCATGACATGAAACCCAAAGAGAAAGCTGTTATGTCTTTTGCCACTAGAGGGCAGAAACAAACAGAAAGTGTATGTGTCATACTTTTCTACAAAGCTGGTTTCAGTCGTGTCGATGAAAACCGAGTCTGGCAGCTGCACCTGAGGACAGAAACAACATGTTTATTGGAGCATTGATATCAGCTCAATGATAATTATACAGTAAAAATCTCCATGAGAAGTTTGTCAGTGTGTAGAAAAGATTAATAGCTGTAGAAAAAGATGAGAACGTCTAAATAAAATAAATCTATATAAAATAATATCAATGTTCTGCTTTAATGAACATGTGACTACAGTTTCAAAGCAAAGAATTGTGTGGAACTCAAAGTTCCCACAGTGAGTGTGACGCTGAACTAACACTGAACACATGAACACACATTTTTAAGTTACAGGTATAATCTAACCCTGAAGTGTCTGTTAGTTTTTCCTCTGGTTTACAAAGTGCAACAAGCAACCACCTGCTGATTTCACAAATATAAAATCTCATTGATTCTTATTTGAGCCAAAACATTTTTTAAAAACTTTTAAAACTGTTTCCCCAACATCATGATTTACAATCTGAATAAATAAAATAGTTCCATCTTCTGAACAATGTGTTTTAGGAAAGGTTTTCTGTTAAATATATAAATATTTCAGTATTATTTCATCTTATTTTGAAATGAAATGCCGATTGTATTTCTACAATTGAGGAAAATTAAAAAGAGGTTCATAAAGCCTGATATGCAATGTATATAAGCATGTAGGAGTGACTTGTTTCAGGTGTCAGTGGTTAAAGTAGACTGGAGTATGGTGAAAGTAGATTTTAACTGAGCAGCAAAGCTGGTCTGTGTTATGACATGTGTTAAAGCATCTTCATTTCAGTCTCTCTTACATTCTCGTAGTCATCATCAGAATCGTCTCCTCCGCCACGTTTGTCTCGTCTCCCCCTGAACTCCGAGGGCGTCTCGTCTCCTAATGAGCGGAAGCTTTGGCCTTCTGGAGATGTTCTTCTGGTGGGAAAATGTCTCAGTGAGGCAGCTTCAACCACTCAATTCAACACTTTTTACAGACAACATTGTTTCTGCCTCTTGGAATGAATTTCACTCCAAAAGTTCTAACTTTTGTTGTGTTGATGCTGTGGTATGTATTGAATGAGATTTTTTCTTACTGCTTTTCTATTCTATTCTTTTTTCTAGGCTGTTTAATAAATAACACACACCTTGTACATCAGGCAGCTGTGAAGTTGTTGAATATTTTTTCAGTTTTGAGGGAGCTATGCTAGCAGTTTCCCCCTGCTTCCAGTCTTTGTGCTAAGAAACACTAAACACTCTCTGTATTGCACTACAAACAATAGGATTTCCTAAATGTTGAATTGTTTATAAAAGTAAATTGTGTAGATTTTTTTGAGTGTTTGAGTCCAGCTTACTGAAGTTTTGTTCCTGGCTGCTTGGACTTGATTGGAGGCAGCTGGGGTTTGACAGTTGGCGGTGGAGGTTTGGGGACTCCTGACTTATGTCCCGTTTTGAGTAGAGGAGAGAGTGGAGGGTGGATGGTGGACCCTCCAACATTTGCAGAATGAGGAATCGGCAGAGTCAGCTTGCTGCGGAGGTTGCTCACCATCCCGTGGTGGTTGTTGCCCAGTGACTGGCTCCCTCCAGTATTAAGTGAGCTGTGGGCGGGACCATTTAGGACCATCTCTAATCGGTCACAGATGGGCAGAGTGGCAGGGGATTGGACTGAACTGGCCAGCAGAGGCTTCCAGTCTCTCTTGTCGTTCCCAGACTCTCCAATGAATGCTGTCCTGTTTGGAGGATTTCTCTTTACGTTGGGCGGAGGAGGTGGAGGGGCGGGATACGAGGGCTTTTGCAGGTGGGGAGCGAAGGGGAGAGGAGGAGGTGGGCCTTTGTTGGGGTCCTTTAGTATGGAGGGAGGGGGGGCAGAGGGCAGGGGTTTTTTGGGGAGCGGGGAAGTGGGGATTCTGAGTTGCAATGGGATGGGAGGAGGCGGGCCTTTGTGGAAACCTGCACTAGAGTCTTGACGGAGCTGGAACGCTGCCGGCACTGGGGGAGGAGGGTAGGAGGGGGGTGGTCCTGTGGGTCGTCCTGAAGAGGCAAGACAAAGAGAAATCAGACGGATGTCTTGTTTTAAGTAAAGTTTATGTTGTGTTTTGTTAATGTTTGTTTCCATACCACTTTCCCTCAAATATAACTACATATGAATGATTTTACTATAAACTATATAAATGAGTACAAAGAAGGCTCCAAAAGGTTTACATTTGTTTTCCAATATTCACTGAAAAATCTTCCAACTGTTTAAAAGGGGATCAGTTTCAACTGATTGTCATTTGGATTTTATGTCTACAGTTTCGACAGTTTCGCAGTGAATAAGGCCCTCTGGTGGTGGGGATCGCTTATGTGCCAGAGTCACTCAAAATAAAATAAAATAAAGTAAAATTAAATTAAATTAAATTGAATTAAATTAAATTAAATTACAAAAAAAAAAACAATTTTTGTGTTGCAAATTTGATTCTTATTCAGAATTTGGTATTTTTTTAATATCGTTTTTTCACCCTTTTTTGAAAAAACATACTTTGATAAACCATAATAAATTACAGGATTATTTCTTTTTAAATTAGAAAACAAAAAAGAACCATTAAGATATCCAGAAGAATCTAGTGTCTTTATGTGTGCACTTCCAGTTGCCAGAATTATCCTTGAACTTCCCTTTATCCTCTATTATCTGCTGCTTCCTTCAGCTACATCATTTCCCCCTCTTCAGCACTTTCTCCTCAGCTGTATTTCATTTCCCAGCACTTCTAGCTTGTATGATTAATAATCAGGGACAATGACACTCTGGCGTCTGGATCTCTGCATGTGACCATATACACAGGTCAGCTAAAATGGAGGGTGTGGTGGGTGGTGTTACCTGTAGACGTCTGCGAACAGTCATTGTCTGGCTTCAGATAGTCTTCCTCATCGTCATCATCATCCTCCTCAACATAATCTACACACAGAAGAAGGAGTTACAACAGTTTAAAAACACATAACTACATCATGTGTGTTTGGTATACTCATTTATCAAGGTGGCCTTACCGTCCTCTGCGTTACTTTCAGTGTGTTTAATATCCATGGGCTTCTCAATTGTGCCATAGAAACTGTCGGCATCTGAATCCGAGTCACTATGGCATCAAAGAAAAAGTTTTTGTGAATGAACAACATGTAGAGATGTAGAACATGCTCTAAATTTTAGCCTATATAAGCTAGTTTTTAAGTTATCTGGTTAGCTGAACTTTCAATATTATGAATACTGCCATCATTTACATTCATTTAAAGAAGAACTGATTTTTATTCTCACAATTATTAAGCTATTTTTTATATCCTAACTTATTTACTGTCCCTGTTTCCCAGCTAGCATTAGCCAAAAGCTAACATGCCCTTTAGTGTTGACATGTTTAACTCAATCAATTACACTATTTCTGCCAATAGAAATCTCACAGCCATGAATTTGTAATATTTTGGCTACTACAAAATGGAAAAAACCATGGTATCATACCCTGTTTTATCTTATATTAGTACAACCAAATTGTATTTTTGTCAAATTACTTCAAATACAATTATTTTCTCTAAAGTTAGAGAAAGAAACCAGACTTTGTTTTCATTAAAGTGAGTACAAATTTCCTGTGAAACCAACACTGACACTCACATAATGAAAAGCTATTAAATCAGCTTTTCGTGTCCCCAGTCCCAATAAGAGAATGTGGTCTGAATAAAAAAACAATTACAGGCTAGTAACTCACTAATCAAGACCAACAGGCCGTTTTCATTACCTACATAAATTATAAATGAACCTGCAGAATTAGCTTCAAACTTTAGGTTCCATTAGCCTGCTGGGAGTTGCACTGGCTGTCGTAACCTACACTGATTGGTTCACACTCTAACATTAAAGATGACTAAAGGTCACATTGGTACAGGCTGTGAGAAAGCAGAAGTGTGAGAAGGGAAATAGTAAAGAATGACGTGAGCTTCTGGACTTACTTAAATAGACTTCTCCCATTGCACTGTTTCAGATAAATTGTGCTTTGGGTTTTGCAATTTTATTTTATTTTTTTAAATAATATTAATGCAACTACAGTGTATATATTAAAGATATTCTGTATTCAGTAGAGATTATTATGTTTATGTTGTGATCTGTGATGTGAAGTTACCTGGGAATGTGGGACTCATTCCGGTCGTTATAGTGGTCTATTTCCCTCCGCAGGTATCGCATCCATTTCTGTAAGACAGCAAAAACAATATGCAGCAGGTGTCTGAGTGCATGTGAAACTTAAGTGTTCTGTTCCCTACTGTGAACAGCTGTTTACCCTAGGAACAATACGCTGACAGTTGTACAAACCAAACAACAGCTGGGCTACTGGGTTTCAAACGCAGTTTCAAAATTACAATTACAAACTTAAATTCATTGTATAAGATGAACACATTCTAAAAACATACATATTCGACACCAATATTAAAATGTATTTTGGTTATTAAAACAGTGTGGTTGTTCTCACCCTCCTCTCGTCCTCACTGGCTGCAGAGAAAAACCACGTCCTGTGTTTCTTACTGAAGTGGACGATCTTGAAAGGAAAAACATTACTAGACGTCGTCTCCTCCGCTGCCCTCATCACTCTGTGGAAGCGGAGAAATGTAAAAGTGAGTCATGCTGCAAGAAAACTACGCTCATAAACATCGAGTGTTGCCTGTAATGGAATAAGAAGGTATTTGCTGTTTGTTTTGAGTCATGTCATTTTTCAGTCATTGGTATCGTTACATCTGTGGTATCAACTGGTGCTTTTGTCTCTCTTTAAAGCCCCATTCACACATATGGACTTAACACTGGGGTTGCAAACATTCATGGTGAATTGAACCTTGAAAAACATTTTAGCTTTGCCCACCACTACTTGAGGACTCAAAAGCCACCCAGCAGTGTGACATGGTGAACTTTGAGACAGGTTCAACTTTATGCAAATGTCCTCTGATCCACAGGAGCAACAACCTGGTAACAGCCAATCGCATTCATTTAAATGTAAAAGAACTTTAAAAAATCAAATGGGGGAAAAGCTTATTGTCATGGTCATCCCTTCCCAGTAGCTGCTACTGCAACTGCTGTGACTTGAATAAATAAAATGTTGGATGGAAACACATCACTCTGGAAATGAACTACTTCATCGTGTTCCAGTCTTGGCAGCGTGAGGAAATAACTACCAATTTGGAGCTGGGTATGTAAATTAGGAGCTGGATCAGGAGGTAGAGTAATCATCCACTAATCGCCAGTTCCAGCTGTCCACATGTCAAAGTGTAATTTGGGGTTGCCTGTGATGTTGAGTATGTGAGTGAATGAGAGGAAAAACATATATCTGGATAAAAGTAAGGAAACAGTGGCGATCCTAGACACTGGGGGAACAAGTCCATCGAAGCCCATCGACCCATCTATGCTACAATTTACAGATGTTCGCTGAATGCCTCACATGCAGGCAATGGTTAGACTAGCTGCACCACACATCATTAGGGCCCCACTTGAGGGGGTTTGATGGCAGCAGCAGTGCACTGCACGGTGTCATTACAGGATGTTCAAGGGGGTTTATATTTGTCATTCCCAAAATGTGCCAATGTAAGGGGCCATCAGGGGCCATTTTTCCCATTTTGGGGCCCCAAGCATTTGCCTGTTTTGCCTCTCTTGACGGTGCACTTCTGTAAGTGAGTATGTACTGTATATGCAGTCCATCCAGTCCATTTAAAGCAAACACACCCTCAAGGTTCAGAGTCAAGTCAATACAATACAAATACGAAGAAGAGTATGTATTTTTTTAACATATGTATACAGTGGACATTCTCACACAGTTTTTCGGTAATAACTGCTCAGGTCGTTAGTAAACTGTGACTCTGGAGAACGTGCTAAAAAACATCAGCACTGACTGAGGAGTCCCAGCAGGTGAAGACTTTCCACTGACCTGTTGTAGCCATTGAGAGAGAACGCCCCCTGTGGTGCCGGAGAGGTACTGCTCTTAAAGTAGTACACACAGCCCTTATGGATGATGATGTACCTCAGTGGCCCTGCGAGACAGGTAACACATAACAAAAATGTTTCTATCCATCAAGCCTTCCTCTTATCCTGTTCACCCACACGTGAATCTTTTTAGTAACTCACATTTCATGAGGCTGAACTGGCTGCCTCCCTTCTTGTGGAGGTATCCCGCGGTGGAAACTCCTCCCGGCATGGTGAGGAGGTTCTGAGCCCCGATGGCTCGCATCGGCACTGGCCAGCACACCTCTGGAGACGACATGGTTCTACAGTGGAGGAGAGGAGGAGGAGGAGGAGGAGGAGGAGGATGAGGGGAGATAAGAGTGAGAAAAGGGTGTTATTATTGCGCCATCATGTTACAGATAACCTGACAGTTAAGATTCATCACAGGAGTTGGGCAAGATCATGGGAATGTGGGCTTGGATCCCAGCAGAAACAAATAACCAATGTTCATGTTCAGACTCATGTGGACAGATATTTTATAGTATTTTGAAAGGAGAAGAAGACTGATGTGATATTTAAGGATTCAGAAAGGATTTAAAGCCACAACCTCCCAGTTACCAAACCTGCTTCCTAACCAGCTAAGCTTTCAGGGCTTTTTAAGCTACACCAGCGCTCACACAGGGAGCAAGGAAGCACCCAGAGATCCTGATAGCTCCATAAAGGCTGCCAAGCTCTCTAAATCAAAGCATACACAATGATCAACAATTGGGGGATACTTTTTCATTCAAACATTTGCACAAGTTCAGGAGAAAGTAGTAAAAATCTTTTTAAAAACACCCATCTTACAGTGCTTTTTTAAAAATGATCTGCACCTGGATTCACGTCAGCAGTAAAAATCACCTTGTTGCTTGTTCAGCGTTAACCATTAAATATAAATAACAAGAAAGACGATTTTTTTCAACCAAAGCACAAAGACACTCTCTTCACTATAAAAAGACACTCTGTCCCTGCCTCCTACTGTAGCCTGTAGTTGCCAGAATTGGATGTTTCATCAGACTAGTGAAACAAATAGTGTAGAGATCATCTATCACCATGAAAAATAAAGACTGTATGAGCTGCGAATTCTATTCTCACTGAAGCAAAGAGCAGATACTCAACAATGTGATTCAGACTTTATCTGCGTTGTATCTTCTTAGGCTAATCTACATTTGCTGGCCTCACTGGATTAATTAGGCTGTTTCATCTGAATCCAAACACCATCAATGTATAACTCGGTCAACTAGTCTTACTAGTTAGCAATCCCTGCAGTATGAGAAGCTCTTCATGTATTATGGGCTAAGGAAAAGGACATATTTTTAATTAAGAACTTCTGTATGAGTAAGCGTGCAATGCCTCTTTAAAGCCTCTTGTACACTGGGCCATGTTGGGCTGTCCCACATGGAAGTTAAGGGGCTATTTGTAAATTTTCTCTGCCGCCGAAAGTGGTCTCTGGAGTGGTGGTGGTGATTGCCACTTTACAAGACCTCTGGCTATTGTTGTGTTTACGAGACAAGAGGCGCTACGCCTTCAGGGCAGATTGGAGATTACACTGAGTCGCTATCGGAAAGTACTGTGACAGGCTGGGGCTAGCTGGTTAGCATGCTAACTTGAGTAGAAGAAAAGACGTGATAGAGACATGAGTTAACATTGGCGTCGCTTTCCACCTCTGGAGACAGCTGTTGGTGAGTAAAGGAACGAAGTTTGATGCTGAACTCGCAACGTTCCTGACTGCTAGGTAAACAACTGTTAATGCTAATGTTAGCTATGTAGCAATAGCAAAACTTACAAATAGCTCCTTTAGCTGTGACTGCAACTTGATGAAACCTTTGACTGTCAGAGTCTGTCAACAGCCCAAACATAACACCAAACATAACCTGCATCGGAATCCTGCCATTGTACATCATCATCATCATCATCATCAACATCATCATCATCATCATCAAGAATTCTTTCAATCATCTTAGAAGTGGAGGAGTAAACTCCCCTGTAACACCGTCTGTGTGACAGCCAGGTGTTACCTGCTCAGTCAGGTGTTGCCTACCTCCTCTTGAGCCTCCTGCTGATGCTCTGAACAGCAGCGCTCTCCCTCAGCAGGCTGACTGTGGAGGCTAACGTTGGCAGGAGGTCCATCACAGAGAAGCCAGACTGGAAACACAACCGACTGGACTGACTCACAATACCCCTCTCCGTCCCCTTCTCTCTCTCTCTCTCTCTCTCTCTCTCTCTCTCTCTCTCTCTCTGGCTGCCTTTGTTGATTTCCATCTCGCTTGCTCTCTCTCGCACATACACACACTCAAGCTGAGATAATGCATTAATGAGAACGCACACACACATTTCTACATGAACACACACATACATTCAGCGCATACACATAAAGTCCTTGTCCTTTTTACTGGGGTTCTAGAGACAGTGGTCAAAATAAACATCCCAAGTGAAGTCCTTCATCCTCTAACCTGTTTATATGTAACTTCCAGTTTATCAAGAGCATCTGCAGACCGCAGAGAGAGAGAGGGAGTGTGGGCAAGTGTGTGTGTGTGTGTGATGTCTAGAAATGAAGATCTCTATTCAGTATAAGATCTCTTTCTGAAATCCACTGAGATAAAACCTGCAGTAATAGTTGTGTGCCTGCTCACTTAAACAAAACTGCCTCTTCCACACCTGTTATACACATGTCAAGAATGCCTTTGAACGGCAGTTACTGGCATTAAGTGGCACACTACTGATTTATCATGTTACAGTCAATTGGCTTCGGTATGTTTCAATCAACCGGGTCTTTAGGGCGAAAAGTAGAAAGAGGTGTAACATGCTGACTCCAAAAAAACAACCCACACTTTCAGACAGTATTTCCTCGAAGGCGTTCATGCTGAGATGGAAGAGTGGAAAAAGTGAGAGCTTGAGAGAGAAGCTCTGAATGATACTTTACAAAAAAAAAATTGTCAGATGCATCATTGGAAAAGTGGTTTTGAGATGCTGTTATAAGATCTGACCAGCTCTTTGTTTGAAGCAAATACTGAGGCTGCACCACCCAGCCTGTGAAAACAGGAGCTTTATCAGGTCTGGAAAAATAAGTGACAGGAGACTTACATTACTCTGCAGGGAGGTTTTAACGAAAAGACGAGCTCAAGCTGCATTATGGGAAGTGTAGGTTGTAGTGTTCTTGGAGCTCGATCCAGACTACAATTCATAATTAAAGTGAAGTTTACCTATTGAAGTTCTGTGGACCGAAAAGTTGTAAAAAGAACAAACCCCAAACAAAAAAAAACAAAACAAAACCAAAAAAAAGTTTGTACAGTGAGTGAGTCAAAGTTTTTAATGCAACGCACCAATTAATATAAGACTAACTGCTGAGCAAGGCCTGTGTTGATTTTGTTCCATACTAGGAAGCAAAAATCATCATTGTCATCATATCTCTGCTGCCGTCATTCAACAGTTTTCTTGTAATCCGCCTCTCACAAGTCTGCCAAATAATGGAAGTACAAAGGTCTGGGCTCAGAAAAATCTGAGCAAAAGCAAGTCATTCACCAAAACCATAAGGAATAACCCCCCTGAGACTATAAATAGTCACAAGTTCATAGGAAATTTGTCCAATAATGGAACAAATTAGTCACCAAAATAATTGTGTAAAAAAATCTTTGGCTTAGAAAATCTATGAAATTTCATGGAAAGCCAGTCAGTAGTCATCTCTGTAATTTGCTGTGGGTCACATTGTTGATAAACCATGTCACCATTCTAAAGATTTTCAACCAGAGAGTAACAACTTCAGCTAAAATGTTAACACCCTGTTGGAAAAATGAGCCTCATTGAGTCAGGCTTCAAGAATGAAAAAAAAAAGCAAAAGAAAAAAAAACCCCAAAAAAACAACATTTGAGGCATCAGAGTCTGGACTGAGGGAGGGAGGGATATGGAGAGCTGATAAAACATGGAAGGGAAAAGCCTTCCTGAGACACAATATCTCACCAGGGTGGAGCTGCTGTTTGTTTCAGACCTCTGAGTGCCCTGCTGTGTGTGTGTGTGTGTGTGTGTGTGTGTGTGTGTGTGTGTGTGTGTGTGTGTGTGTGTGTGTGTGTGCTAGATGACTTACAGAACTTGTTTTTCTGACTGTCCAGTGTAATGTTTACCGATAACCAGCCGACACAGATAAACTGCGACCGTTCAGCAGTTAACTAAACTTCATCCCAGTCTGGCTGAGGTCAAAGTTCACCAGCTGCTTATCATCCACATGAGGATTTCCTGAAGTCCTCGTTTAGCTATACATCAGACACAGACGCACACACACACACACACACACACACACACACACACACACACACACACACACACACACACACACACACAAACACAACTGGCAGACAAAACTGAAACAACAAAACGATGTTGGGACTGTATACTCAGCATTTTCTTGTTCTCTACAGGAAGTGGCCTGAAAGTTTAGTTTTCGCAGGAGTCGATGGAGGAGGAAGCAGGGGGGTCGGCTTGCCTTCCAACTGACGCTTCAACTACTTACAGTGCATACACTTTAACCATCTCTGGTGCTTCCACTGACATTTCAACTGCTTTCTTCTCTTACTCCGCACAAACTGACACCTTAAACTTAAACTTGAAATTCGAATTCCTCATGCGCTCAGCGACTGCACTTCAACTGCTTTCAACTGCTTTTGCCTCTTAAACGAACACTTTCAGTGCTTCAACAAAAACTACATGTCCTGTTAGTTTTAAATGTGGTTCCTTTTAGGGTCACTGTTTGAAAAGAAAAGTGTTTTTTAAGAATAACGTAATATTAATTAATTAAAGTAATATCTAAAACATGTGGATTGATATGAATAAATGTGTTTTGTCAGTTTTGAGTTTTGTTACTCAAATTTTCTGGTATGATTTGCAAAAATACATATATTTTCCCCCATAAAAATATACATAATTATAAATACTTAAATAACATCAGAGCCATGTCATGAAGAATGGACGGGTGAGGTCCTGTAGATTCACACTGTTCTGCTGGCAGATCACTGATAATGAAAATGTTGACATGCGAACTATCTCTCTCAGCGGGGCTACAGGATTTCTGGGTATTGAAGATTGGTTTCCTCTCATGGTAACATGCAGCTGCTAACATACGAAGCGGCAGGGTGAGAGGTCCCATTTATTTCTCCTAACGTGGCTCTTACAGCGTGAATCTCACAAAGATATTACTGTTAATATGCTGAAAACTTCACTTCAAGGTTACTTATCAAAACTGTACCCGTTAAACTTTTGTGCAGGTCCTCTTCCAGCGTTATTCCATGAAACA